GTTATATCCTTAGAAAGAGTAGACTCATGGCAACACTAATCAATATTACAAGAATTCAATACTGCTGGTCAAATCACATCCCTTGACTCAGAAGCACTGCATACAAGTGAACCTTCTATAAGTAAAATAAAATATAGAACTGATATTTTTTCCTATCTCTCAAAATCAGCTTTATATACAGGCTGCATGGTTTTATCTTTCATATTGGAAAACTGATACAAACAAAAAGTCAATGATTCCCCTAAGTAGAGGAAGAACACCCCAAAAAACTGAAACTATCTTTTGGAGGGCAGGCCCCTTGAAGTATATCTGGAAATTGCTTCTCCAGATCAAATGGACAACCAAAGTTTTTATCAGGAAGTTTTGAGAAAGTTGGATCATGATTTGCAGAAGCATCTGAGTTGTGGCAAACAGGTGACTAGTTCTTCTATCATGACAGCGCATCTGTCCACACAGCTCTGAGTGTTCAGCAGCTTTTCACCAAAAATGGCATGATGCCTATGCCCCACCCTCCCTATTCACCCCATCTTGCCCCAAGTGACTTTTAGTTTGTTTACCAGGATGAAAAAACCCCTCAGGGAAACATTTTGCCAACATGGAAGAGGTGAAACAAAAAACAGCAGAAGTACTAAACTGTATCAAAATTGACAAGTTCAAAAACTGTTTAGAGCAGTGGAAAAACATCTCAATAGGTGTGTTGCATCAAACAGAGAGTACTTTGAAGGTGGCTGAGTTTAAACATGTAAGAATAAATACACACTTCTAAAAATAAATTCTATTTTTGGGATCCTGCCTCATATAATTATGAAAGAAAATTTTGGCAGTTCTGAGGACCAACTCATTAGTTTCCTGATGGGGTATCTAAAGTTCTGTCATTAGATCCAATGACTCTCAGAATGGCCCTGGATTTTATAACATTTCTGCCTCTTTAGCCAAACCTACTAGCTAAGCAATGAGTTTAATGATCTTATTTCCAAGTCCCTTTTTCTTCTAGGTAGTTGGCTTAAGTTGGATTCAATAAAATAGAAAACAGTAGGAAAGTCAAAAAGAAAATGAATTTAATATGCATACTATTAATCATATTATTTTTTGCTATCCGTGAGACACGTTTGAGAAAAAAGATTAGGGAATGTTAAAGATAAAAGATGAAGGAAATTCTAGAAAGTAAGATTTTTTTTTTCTCTATGATCAGGTGAGAAACATATGAATTAGTTTTTGAAAGTGTTATTACCTGATATTATTACAGTAACACTCAAATTCTTCATTAGCAGCTCAACTTCCTTGAAGCCAATAAAAGGGAATAAAGCAGCATAAAAAAGATGGCCTATGACAGAGCTGCAGAAGTGACTGTGTTTTTAAAAGATTTCATGATCTCAATTCACCTTTTACTTTCAGCTTTTATTGTAATGAGTTTTTAGGCAATTATATAGCTACTACATACAGGAAGAATCACAGAATGGTTAGAGATTATTCAGCTTCTAAAACATACATAACAAATGTTGGCTATATAATAATTCTGAAAAATACCAAAATTAAACCAAGATGAAAATTTTTTTAATTCATTGAAGGTCAATTAAGTGCAATTCATATGTTTCTTTGAATTTTCTGGGTTTTTTTCCCCTCAGCCATGCAATTTGTAGGTTTAGATTACTTAGGAGAGTGTGTAACACAAATTAACTCACTTTTATTTCACAAATTCTCCAATGAAGAAAGCTGTGGATTGAACTCTGCTAGGAAAAGAGCCAGAAAGAACTCAAACACACTATCAGACAAAAATGCAATATACAGGACACACATCACACACTATTGCAGGTTCAAAAACAGGACATGCAATCAAAACAGAAATGACAGTTGTGCCATGCAACTTGTTAGCATGCCCCTTATGACGGTTTTAGTTTCTTGTACACACAATGCTGGAAACTTAAAAAAGTATATATATGAACTCAATGGAGAAGACTTTAATATAGGCACCTATAAAATACAAGTTTTTATAATTAGATGTTGCATGTTTTAGAGGTTTTAGAAGACTCAGTAGGCTGATAGGTTTTTAAAAACTCATTCTTCTGTTTTACTGATTTCCAGAATTGGCAAATCACACAAGGAGAAATCATCCCAACTGCATTATTCATGGAACGCATTGTTAGCATTAACAGTGCATAAAAAACCCACAAGATAACTGCTTTAGAAATCTTAGCACTTTGTAATGCTAAGTATTCTGTATTACCAGTTATTCATTTCTTCCTACTTTTTAACAGCATTTTCTTCACATTAATGTTTTGTTTCCTATTTGATTGTTAGGATTTATCTGTTAAATCCTCTTGAAACACATCTCTTTCATTTTCCATTTTAATATATATAAAATATTTAGCCAAGTTTTATAAACACAGGCAGAAGAATAAACGTGGTTTTGGAACTAACATCTTCAGTCCCAAAAGCTTAAAATAAATGATTTCTGAGCTAGTAATCAAAGAGAATGGAACTCTTCTTATAATTTTGCAGTGTGAGGGTCAATGCAAAATCATCTTCTATTCCTTTCCTATTCATCATTTTGAATTTTGGGATTGTGAAGCATTCAGTAACTGATTTCTGGATTGCTGCATTTTTAGCTTGACTTTCTTTAAATAAGATTTGTTTCTGGATAATTTGTGAAAGTTCAGCATGCCATTTTCACTGCAGCAGTATGCTATGCTTTTTAGGTACATGAAAATTTAATTCGAAGATACATTGTTTTTTAACCAAGAAACTTCAAATATAGTCCAGAGAAATATATTTAGCTGATACTAGACATGGTACAAAATGAAGAAAACACATTGAGGTGTTTATAATTCATTGTTATGATTAGAGTTCCTTGAGAAGTGCAATGTAGCTTGATTTTAAGCAGATCATCATTAATATACTAATTTTAAGAACTTACAAAAGGAAATTAAATCATTATTTAATCATGAGTCAATATTATTTGTGACTGTCAGAAAAATGAATATTGAGATAGGAATAATTAAAAAATATATACTTTCCTCTGGTTCTTTGAAGTTTTTTTTTTCCAAATCCTCATAAAGATATATCTACAACCCACTGAACAATGTGTGTGTGTGTGTGTGTGTGTGTGTGTGTGTGTGTGTGTGTGTGTGTGTATCCCCAGGAGTGATAGGATGGAGGATGGAGGTGTGGTGAAGAATAGGCATATTTTGAGTATGAGAAGTGACACTGAAGAAAGCTTGGACTTGAGCAAAGTTGAACTGAGAAGTATGGCTGGGACAAACGTTACAAGTGAGAGAACATATGTTGCTTATTAGGGAGCATAAAAGGTCCTCATCAGGAGTTCCATTTAATTAGAAAAAGAACCACAGGTCACTGAATACTTTAGAAGAAGAAGAAGGGAGTTCTGGAACCTAGCACAGTGCTTAGCAGATGACCCCAAAGTGTTTTTCTCTTTAATAGATGCCGATACATGGTTCATGTTCAGAGTTTCAAAATTTAATAACTACCATAGATAAATCTAATAACTCGTTTTAAAGAGCTTAAGAAAATAGTTATAGAATCACTATGTAGGACAAAACAAAACAAAAAAACACAACAAAAAAAGCAAATGTATTTGTTGAATTTTCATAATGTAAAGCATACATTTAGCAACCCAGATTCAATCTAGGACATAAGAATAGCTAGGATTCTGGATCCCTGTAAAATCTCATATGGGGGATCTTATATGCTTCCTCTCCTCTCCCCTGTCCAACTTAGTTCCTTACAACCAAGCCCATGTCTCAGTTACTGATCATACCCACGAGCATGAGCTGGGAGAGCCACACTGGTCACTCTTTTCTCTGTCTCCTCAGGTGGGACTGAGGTCAGCATAGGCAGTGCAAGGATGGTTACCAGCCAGAGCTGGCTCTGGTACAGACTTCATCATTGCACCTTCTCTGAGCCCTGGCTAAGCTACTTCCTTCTCTGATGAGGAAAGAAACCAAGGGAGAGTCAATAATAGGATAGCAGGAAGAAGTCACCATTTTCCAGTTAATGCAGCAGAATAAATTCAGTGTTCTCTGGGACTCTGAAATAGGAGGGCATGAAGTAAGGCAATGACACATACTTGGGAGTAAAGGATTTCTTCCAAAAAATTTGGGGTAGTCAAAAGGAATTTGAGCCAATAAAATGTCATAATTTCAGGAGGAACCCCTTGTGTTAAGGGTAAGTGTGGCTTAAAAGCTAGGATGAAGAGAAAAGAAGGAAAAGAAGATGATGAAGAAAACCAGATATGTGATGTCTAACTGTGTCATGTAACTCACCTGTTTTCTTCCCTATTTGTGTCTGATGACTTACTGATGATCAGCTCCCACTGTAAGATTTTTAGATGACTTTTTTCTAATTAGAAAGACATTGTGCCTAAGAAATAAGTTTGAGCAATCGTGAAAATTGAAGGATTTTTGCAAGGATTGTTGTAGACAAAATAATATTGAGAATGACTTTACCTGTGTTGACATATAGTTCCGTGTAATTTAGAACAATTCAGTGGCTTCATCATAAGGTCTCCTGTTACTAACTTGCTCCCTCAAATCCTAAGTTTGATGTTAGAGAATTTAATAAAGATCCCTTTAATGTAAAAAGTCAGCAGACATCTTATCACCCAGATAACTATAATAGCTGCTATATTCCTATCTCCAGTAATACTGCAAGTTTGGATGGTTTGAGAACACACGGGACTTCAGACACTTAGGTATTTTCATTATGAAATGCTATCCTTCATTAAAATAACAAAGAACCACAGTGCAAGACTATCCTATCACCAACTCGTTGATTTTATCTCCAGGTAAACCTGTCAATTTCCCTCCATCTCTACCTCTGACAGTTTTATTCCAAACCTCCGTCAGCTTTTGCCTGGATGTTTGCAGTGGCCTCCTGATTGGCCTCTAAGTATCCATTCTTGCCCCTTCAATTTGTTTTCTATAATGCAGCCACAGAGCAGTTTTTAAAAGGCAAACATGATTCTGCCACTTCTGATTTACAGATTTTTCAATGGCTTCTCACTGCTCTGTGGGAAAAGACCATAAACCTTAACAGGGATCAACGGGCTCTACATAGTTCAGGCATCTTTCCTCTACTCTTCTGTTATCAAGCACCCTGATCACCTACACTCTCTTTGCTTCCACCTTCTCTAAGTTCCAGTACCTTTTAAATTCTTAAAATGCAACACGGTTCCTCTAGTCTCATGGCTTTTGCGTGTGGTTTTCTCTGCTTGAAATACTTCCTCTCTTCCTGGTTTTTGCCTTATTAATGCCTATTCACACTTTATACTTCAGTTCCCATTTGACTTCCTTAGAAAATATCTGTCCCTTTGACTAGGACAAATTTTCCTATTTTTGCTCTCTCAGTAACATGAACCTCTCTTCTTAGCGCTTAAAACAGTTGTCAGTTTACATTTCTGTCAGTGACCATTTGAAGTCTCCACTGGATCTAAGTTCTATTGCATCCTAAGTGTTTAGCACAGGAACTGGCTTATGACAGGTTCCTGGTGAATACCAGGACCATTTGAATGAAACACAAAGTGAACATTTATAATTTATTCCTGTGTGTGGATCAGCCAACTAGGACATATTTCTTGGCTAATGCTGGGTGAAATGTCTTCTGAAGTGGTGACTTTTAAAATGATAGGCTTCCATTTCTAAATATTAAAAGGCAAATATGGGCTCTACATAGTCCAGGCGTCTTTCCTCCACTCTTCTGTTATCAAGCACCCTGATCACCTACACTCTCTTTGCTTCCACCTTCTCTAAGGCTCCAGTACCTTTTAAATTCTTGAAATGCAACATGGTTCCTCTAGTCTCATGGCTTTTGCGTTCCTCATCCATCCTTCTGCACACATACATACATAATTTTACTATGCTAAGTTCTCACACTAAGTATTATTGCTTTAGAGTGTATGTGTGTACGTTGTCCTAATTTTTTTTTAAAGGGCAGAAAGAAATACCTCTTGAAAGGGTGGATTTTTTTCAATGAGTTTGAGGATTTTCAAATTTGAAGTTGAAATTCACTATTTTTACCTACAATCTAGGGGAAAATGTCAATAATACTTGTTCAGCATGCATTATTTTAAGGTATAAGACGTACATTGCTGAGATTGAGTATTTGAACTTACCTAAAAATTATTTTTACTAGTAAAGTATACCACAGTCAGAACTAGTTAGAATAGTTTCCAGGTACACAAAAGTACATTGAGTCTATTAAATAATTTCTGACAAATTGTGGTAGTAAGTATACTGGCAAGCATACTGCTGTGGATCAAACCTGATATTTTTAATGTCACTTAAATAGTGGTGATGTAATTGGCTTCTCTGTATCTCTTGTCAGTTTCTCAGTGCAGCATGGTGTGCAAGGAAGTAGACAACTATGCTGAAAAATAGGTAAGACCAATACGGAAGCCCATTAAGAAAATGAAAAGTATTCACTTGTCATTCAGTAAACAAAAACCAGAAAGCAGAAACTCTGTTATAATTTCACCTTATTTTCTTTGGCATGATACACCTGATCATACAATCAAAATGGTAGAGTGTGGATGCTTCAATGTGAAATTCCAAATATTCAATTAACTAATAAATGTATTCCCTGAATACATACTAATGTTTGCCTATATATAACATGTCTGAAATTGAGAAATAGAATTAAAAGATGAAAAATCTGGTTCTTACTACAACAAGAGGTTCTGATCTGGAGAGTGGAACAGGAAATTTGAGTTGAAAAGATAGAATAAGCACGGACTAGCGTTAACTGGATACTCACATAAACAAAGGACAGGCCAGATTTTCATATACAGCTTCTCTTTATTATTACCTCTGGATCCAAAGAAGGCTCACAACATTCGAACAAGTGAGAGCAAGAAAGAGCTCCAACTAGTCTGTGGGAGAACTTACCACATCCCTGGACTCTCCTTCTTTAGGAGTAAGAACGACGGAGAGCAAAATGATGCCAAGGTCATGGTCAGGATAATGGGGATCTTTCAGAGTGAGGGTCACATCTGTGGACCTGTAATATAAAATATTTAAATTGTGAAGTCATTAAATAAATAAGCCAAAATACATTTTCACCAAACAATCTATTTTAAGAAAAAAAGCAATTTTGCCTCTTTTTACTTTTTTGGTACAATATTATTATTAAAATATCATCAATGTATTAAGTTATTACTAAACTGTGAGCTAACTGAATATATTTGAATGTACTAAATGAATTTCTGCCCTTGTAGACCCATGAAGGGCTCTAGAATTTGCTGAAAAGTCCAAGAAACCACAACCCTATTAAAAATCTACCAGACCCTGTTTTATGCCTAAACCCGCAGAGAGCAGTACCAGTTATTGTCTATAAACATGAGTCCAGCAACTAAACAAGGGTCATTTGTTGACCGCTACCTTCCTTTTAGCTCTTTAGGATTCTTTTTAAGCAGGAGTATGATTTAAATAAACAGGTGAGTGGGAGATGAAGAAAATAAAACATTTAATTCGCCTAGACATGCTTTAAAAACAATGTATAATTATTTAAATGAACATCCAATATTTAACATAATGTTTTCTATTTTTTGGCTATTTCAAACGACGCCTGAACAATTTTTAGATTCTGAATGACAAGGAAATCAATAGTTACACAAATTAGGTAATACAGTCTTTGGAATTAGATACACATCTCTGAGGGAGAGATTCTGAACAATTCGATATTGCCCAAAATCAATTTTGGAAACAATGCAAACATACATTCAACTAGCAATGCATAGGTAACATCTCTCTTGTATATTTCAATTAAATTTAATGTGTAGGGATTAGTGCCCACCACAAACCTAAGGGTCTGTGGAGCATCAAGTGCTAAACAATCTTGAAATGTTGGCAAGTTAGGAATGTTCCCTTGTTTGTTCAATATTCACTCATTCGTTTCATTTACAAAACGTATATTAAACTTACATTAAATACCACACACTGTGCTAGATTACAGGTAAAAATTGAAGGTTAAGACTAAGATAAGATCCTTATCTTCATGGAGCTTAACTTTCAGTACACGATACACTTGAATTCTAATACTGGAGCGAGGGCTTGGTGGGCCTAAGAATTTTCAATCCTGTCTGTACATCAGAATCAGCTGGAAAGGGTTTTAAAAGTATATATTCCTGACTCTGGTTCTATACATCAGTGGTGGGGTCTGGAGTCTATATGTTTATAAACCTCCCCAAATGATTTTCTCTTACAACCAGGATTGAAAACCATAGGTACATTTCAGTGCTAAGATTTTATGATGCTAGGAAATCTTTCACATGATGCTTAATTTACCAAGTCAAGGAATGATGCTATAAAAAATATAAACAATTTTGTTTTGTCAAGGGTTTTAACTGAACCATAAGCAACCTGTCAGACTAGTAATATACTTAAGTTGTAATAGTTATGATGCAAATTGCTCCAAAATTAATTTTATTATAACTAATGATTATGGTTTGATAGCAACAACTTGTTCTTTTTCACAAATACATGTTAGACATAATAGTACGTGCATATGGTAGGTATATACAATACATATATAAATAATAGTGTGTATATATATTATGTATATATAATATTCATATACATAATAGTGTGTATACATCATAGTGTGTATATCAATATGCATGTATGGGGTTATAATATGATTTGGTTCATTTTCCTATAACAAACATTACATATAAAAATTAATAGGAACAACTTCATTACATGTTTTAATGATTACATGATAAAGATTTAAGAACATTTGCAATTGCTTTATGATGTACCTATTATTTTCTTCCAAAGAGATACCTGAATGTATTATATAGCAGCATAAGTATTTATATGGCTACTATTTTTTTTTTTTTTTTGAGTTGGAGTCTCACTCGGTTGCCCAGACTGGAGTGCAGTGGCCATTCCCGGCCACCGCAGCCTCGCTTGCTGGGCTCCAGCGATCCTTCCGCCTCAGCCTTCTGAGTAGCCGGAATTATAGGCATGCACTACCACACTCGGCTGATTTTTTGATTTATTGTAGAGATGAGGTCTCGCTGCCCAGGCGGGTCTCAAACTCGCAGGCTCAGGCAATCCACTCACCTCAGCCTCCCAAAGGCGCAGGATTACAGGCTGAGCCACCAAGCCCGGCATATATGGCTACTATTATTATACTTTTTTCTACATCCGAAGACTACTGATTTATACATAGAATAAAATAGCATCCACAAATACTTGATTTTAAAAAGTAGTAATTTTATGTTTATGTGGTTTTAAGGAGAGAGAATGGCTAGCAAAAGACATAAAATAGGTAACATGCCAAAAATACACCAAAAACTTGTATGCATCTCTTTTAATTTTTAATATTATTTCTTATTTTTTCCATTTTAAGTTCTTCTTCACCAATGATTTACCTTTAATAGAGAACAAGATAAATGTATACTTTGGGATTAAGTCCAGTAATTAGTATATCCTTATGCAGATGTCTACAGAAAAAGCAATTGTGACCTTTCTAGAAGAACAGTACAGTCCATTCTCATTTAAGTTTAGTTTCCATGATAACGGACTCCATCCAAACCACTACGAGCACTTTCTTTAACTGCAGGAAGGTGTGAGCCTGTGCTAGGCTGTAGGTCAGAAGGGAAGACACGGAAGAAGTATCAAAAATGCTGTACTTTTGCCTGATTTGAGACAAAAGGTCCACTGGAAGACCAATATGCTGTCTTGGTGCTCAAACTGAGCCGACTGTGACACATAAGGGGATTCTGCTCATTATATTTCTCTACTCACCAACATTTACAGAAATAGGGCGCAGTGATTCAGCCTGTCACTCTGCTTTCCTGCTTTCCACCACCCCTGCCACAACGGGATTTATTTACGTCATAAGTAACATGATCATCCAAAACAGACAGGAGTTCCTTCTCCCTAAAACAGCTTCCTTTGCAACCCCTTATTAAGTGTAAGGAATGATTAAGTAATAATAATAGAATGTTAGAACTAGTCAAGCAACGATAAATAATATAACTAAACCAGTATGACCAATCTGCCTACACTTTAGAAGTACTCCTGGGTAACCTGGTGATGGTAACTGGTGGTGGCAGAATCAGATTCTCCTGTGGCTTAAGTAACAAGAGAGTTGTTTTTTTAATCAAAGTGCAATGTTTTGTTTTATATATAGTAGCCCTGATTCTTAAATTAATAATTATCATTAACATGCATAATCTTTTTTATGTCCCATTGCAACATATGGGCAATGTGACAGGAGGGAATGTGTCTTTTTTCTCTAGATTCCTGGTGCTTAGCAAGGAAATGAAAAGAGAGTATACAACAGGGAGAGCTCCTCAAAACTGGAATTATCTTTTGGAGGGTGGGCTCCTTGAAGTACAGGCTTCTCCCACTAAGTGTTCTAGAAACTCATAGATATCAGTATACCAGCTAGTGTTGTTGTAAGAGGCTGCATTCAGCTTCAGTGAATTTCTTTTTGGATATTCTTTCAATGCATTTGCCCTTTTCATGATGGGTGATTTACATGAACAACCTGCCCACACTCAGTGCCAGGTGTTTAGCACTTTTTGACCAAAAAATGACATGACCCCATGCTCCATACACCATTCACCCATTCTTGCCCCAAGTGATTTTTTGTTTGTTTGTTTGTTTCTCTGGATGCAAAAAGTCCTCAGAGGGAAATGTTGCAATGTGGAAGAGGTGAAACAAAAAATGGCAGAAATACTAAAAGGCATCAAAATTGACAAGTTTAAAACTGTTTTGAGCAGTGGAATTAGTGTTTTGATAGGTGTACGACATCAAACGCAGAGTACTTTGAAGGTGACTAAAGTTTAAAAATGTAAGAATAAAGACACGATTTTTTAAATAAATAAATTCTGGTTTTTTGGTAGTCCCCCTTCATATATGTCTGTCGATATTGGGGGACAGAGCTGGTGTACAAGAATTTTTCTGTTGAGTAATTGATGATAGATGAGGTGGTCAGGGAAAATGCCATCGTGTAGGTGAGAAAGCCCTTGAAAAGGCCGATTACCATAAAGGATCACAGCTACAAATGACAGAACAGCAACTCAAACCCAGATCAGTTGACACTTTCTACTGCACAGGCCTAGCTATATAACAAGGGGTAGCGATATTACAACTCTAAAGTTACCTGTTTAACTCCAGTTGTGTAAGATCCAGAAAGGCTGAGCCCATAAAGTCATCCTGTAGTCCAAAATCATAGTCAAATACCTGAGAAACCAAAGGGACAAAACAGTGTTATAAATGAAAATGTCTTGATTATAAAATACAGGTTGTCTATGTTACCAAAACCATACTAACATTTTGTTTCTTTAAATTTGCTTTTGTACTTTGGAATATTAGGATCTCACAAAACTAAAAGGATATTACTTTTTTTAACTTAAATTGTTAATTTATATAAAATAGAACTTTAAGGTAGATGTAATAAAATCAAATAAAATATAGCAAATCTTCAAAAATGTGGGGGACAGGCTTAGAATTTTTTTGTCATATTATAGAAAGGATATTAGCATTGCTAGAAGACAAATTGAGTTAGCATGAAATTCAACAAAAGTATCTTTCATATTGGGCTATGAATGTTGAAAATAAGATTCAATTTCTTTATTCTTTTAGGTCATTAAAAAATTCTGTGTTGTTTTAGGACAATGCCATTTTCAACATACAAATACGTAAAAGTCAAGAAATTTGGATTAGAGTACTTTGTAAAGTTATATTAAGGTGAAATTAAAGTTTTATTGTCACAAGCAGTTACTGGGAGACAGTACTAATGTCACTAACGATAAGGAAAAGAAAGTATGTATTTCTTCCTTCTGTCAAAACTCTCTATCCAGTATCTTCTCTGTGTCTTGCATGGTTCTTCTTCATACTATGGTGGATAAGACAGATAATTCCTGACCTCTTGGACCCTACATTTGGGAGCTGAGATAGTCCATAAATACCTAAGTAGAGATACAGAGTTCAGTGATGAGTGACATGAAGACAAAAAGACGACACCCAAATAATGGGAAGGATTAAGCCATGCTAGTATGAGGAACACTCAGATGGGGAAAACAGCAAGCCCAGGAGAAAGACTGATGTGCTTAAAGATCAGCAAGAAGCCAGTGGGGTTGAAACAAATTGAGAGAGATAGACTAGAAGGATGTTGGAGAGATAGCTCAGAGCTAGATTAGTTGGGGTCATTTCCAAAGGACTCAAAGTAAATAGGCACTGGCTAATTTCCATCCACCTATTAATTTCCCCCTCATTTATCTCCTCAGTCAATATTGATCATGTACATTATATGCTAGGCAATGTGCTGGGCATTGAGTAAACAATGCTGAGCAAAACTGACATTGCCAATGCTTACAGTTTAGTAAGGGAGACAGATGTTAGATAAGGAAGCGCATAGGTGATATGTGATTACAAATTTTGATACGTGTTTTAAGGAAAAGAATAGGGCATGAAAAGAAATAATAACAAAGAAGTCAGGAAAAGCCTTTACAATGAAAAACAATGCTACTAGATGAAGCTTAGAGTTGTGCTTCCGGACCCTTTCAGATAGAAAATGTTTGTATTGGACACTGGAGTAGTTGAGCACAACCAGATAAATCTGCTCTTGAATGGCAGACCAAGCCACTGGACTCTCTAGGATGTGTGAATCCATGATGCTGAGAGAATAAACAGCCCGGGACCCCTGTGCCCAGTTCTTGACACAATAGTTACAAAGTTCAAAGCAGAAAAAACAGAGGCACAGCAGCCTTGAAGTCACTGTTTACTTCTAGAGTTCAGGTTACTTCAATAAAAAAATTTAATATGTAAAAAAATGGATACTTAAATAAAAAGATAAATACTTTGCATTACAAAAGGATTCTTAGATTTGAAGAGTCACAAAGGGATTTATTTAAGTAATAAGCTCCCCTAATGACTTTTAAATTATTCAATTTGCAGTCATTTGATTTACATACAACCTTTCAGGAGTACATTTACTGCAGAAAGCTCAGCACTCCTGCAATAAATATTCTCCTTGATCAATTACTCTTCTGAGCTTTAGTCATCTGCTCAGTGGCATATCACATGCATATACTGCACATCTTAGGCAAGGGACACCTCAGTATTTGCAAGTAGCTGCAGCAGTGTATCTTACAACATAAAATTTACACCAAAACATTGGAAAAATGTCTCTTGTGCAATCTCTTCTAATCATATCACCCTTAGGCTTAAAATTTTGGAGAGGAGATAAGTGATGTATAATCAATGAGATCACCTAAGGTATATCCACACACAGGAGGTAGAGAGCAGTGAATCCAATGAGTTGATTAGTGTAGATAGCCCAACTGGATGACTCAACATCCAAAATCTTTTTACGCTCAAGGCAAGTCTTCCCTATTGTCCTAATGCTAGATGTTTACTTTAGTTCTCAATTTCTATTAATCTGCAAAGGCATAAACATGGGAAAGAACAGAAACCCCAGAGTCCATTCATTAAAGAAATTGTTAGCTATGCCACTTAGTTCCAAGCTCTGTAAACTATTTATTTATCATAGGGAGCACAGTTGTAGGTGGAGCTTCAGAAATAGAGAGCATAGGAAAGAGATAAAATAGGAAAAGGTAGTCCCAGTGCAATAACAATAAGCATAGTTAATGTTTATTCAACATTTATTATAAGCCAGGCCCTGTATTAAACACATTATATAGATTTAAAATGTAATTCTCCCACAGTCCAGTTAACAAGATAATGTTGTTTCTATTTTTCAGATAAGGAATCCAAAATTTATTTCTGGAATTTACCCCCAAATCCTAGGGCTAGGAAGAGTCAAAAGTCAAATCTTGTTTTATTGGGTTTTGTAAACAGAGTAGGTTTAAATTTAACAAATATATTGTAGACACCCATCTGGGTGGACCGCTGGGAATTCAAATGAATAATTTAGGTGAGATTCTGTTTCATGGACCTTTTAGACCATTAACCTAAAACATCATGTAACACTAGGTAGAAGTTGCTTGGGGCTTGGTAATACCTTTCTTCATTCTCAAATGAGTTTTGAACAACAAATATTTTAAACAATGAATTTATCTTATTTCAATTATATTCCAAAAATTATATACTAAAAAAATTGTATTAGGGAGTGCATTAGTTAAAATGCTTTTGGATACAAGTCATAGAAAACTCAACTCCTGTCTTCAGCATAAATGGGAATTTCTAGTTCAAATAACTGAAATGTCTATAGGTGATTATGGCTTCAGGGTAGTTTTAATTTGGTAGTTTAAATGATTCATGCATTTACTAACTCATTGATTTGAAAAATATTTGGTGAGCATTCACAGTGTATCAGGTAGTGTTCCAGGCACTTGAGATACAGCAGTGATCAAAACAGTCAAAAAAGTCTTTGATCTCTTAGAGCTTTCATTTAGGAAGAGAACAGACAATAAACAAATACATATGCCAAGTAGTGATAAATGCTATGGAGAAAAATATTTCAGGGCACAAGAGTGATGGGAACTGCTATTTACATATGATATTCAGGAAGGACAATGAGAACAGGAGGCATTTCCCCATGAAGGGGAAAGTGTGTTTTATAATGAGGGAATGGGAAAGTATATTCCATAAGGGGAAAATGTATTACCCAAGTAGAAAACAAGAAGTGGAAAGGCACTGAAAAAACTGATCAGAGGTCTGTGTGACTAAAAAGCAGCGAGTAAGAGAAGAGAGCTGGGATATTCATTCAGGCTTAGACCATGGAGCCTGACATCATATTTAGAAGTTTGGGAGAAGGATCCATAAAGGAGACTGAGAAGGAATAGCTAGTGAGAGAACAGAAAAACCAGGAGCAAGGTATCACGGAAACCAACTGAAGAAACAACGCAAGAAGGAAGGAGTAAGTAACTATCAAAATTGAGTGCTGTGGTCTAACTTCATTTCCATCTCTCCAGGTTTCATCAGAGCTTCCTCATTGTTACTGCTTCAGTGGGCTAACTTCCTTTATGATCCTAACCTCCTGCCAGGAACTCCAGAGTGTCTTGTTTCTTCACTCACATCCAGCAAGGAAGCTCAAGTTGCTGGTCCCAACATTCTCAGTTAAAGTATGAATCCACTCCAGATGGGTGAGCTCACATCGCATGCCTATTCTAGGCTAAGGATATGGACCTGACTTCATGACTAGCACTTATTTTGAAAGGCAATAGTGAAGTCAGCTTCCATGGGCCCATATGTATCTCCAAAGAAAAAGGTGGGGCCCATAGGCAAGGTTAAAAAGGACATAGGTTGGAAAACCCCCAACAAAGATTCCAAACAGAGAACCAATCCTGGGGTTCTTCATGATGGCTCTAGGTGCCATCATCACTTGCCTAGCTATAGCTGGAACTACTTGACACCTGATCTCAGGTTTAGGACAATTGATATGAGTCAGGATTTCTATTTTCTAATTCATGGCTCTTTGTCTCTGCATCAAGTCACCCTTGCCAAATGTCCTGAAACTTATGGACAGAAATCCTTGATACTGGTCTATATATTATTTTTGAAGTCTCACTCAGTTCTTGCTTTGACCACCCACTTGCACATTGCCATCAATCCATGTTAGGCACCCTTCTCTTCTGATGCTGACTGATCACATGGAAAACCATCTTCTTTCTTATGCTGTTCATTCTTTTTATTTTATTTTTTATTTTAAAGATGAGGGGTATAATTCAGGATGTTATTTGCTTTTTTTTTCTTTTTTTTTTTTAAGAAAGCAGGATTTGTTGAGAGGACAGAAAAGCTCCAACGGTGAGAGGGGATCCAAAGGGGTTGCCCTGCTAGTCACTCTTAACATGGTTTTCTTCTTGCCTCTGTTAGGTAGTTGTTCAGTTGAGTAATATGACTGTAACCTAGGAAACCTGTATCTGTGCTGAATGGTACAGCCCTCTTTGTTTCTTCAATTTTGTTCTGAACTTTATTTCTTTTTTTCTTTGAGATGGGTTATTGCTCTGTCACCCAGGCTGGAGTGCATTGGCATGACCACAGCTAATGACAGCCTCAACCTCCTGGGCTTAGGCAATTCTGCCTCAGCTTCCCAAGTAACTGGGACTATGGGCACATGCCACCATGCCCAGCTAAATTTCTGTAGAGACGAGGTTTTGCTATGTTGCCCAGGCTGGTCTTGAACTTCTGGGCTCAAATGATCTTCCCGCATCAGCTTCTCAAAGTGCTGAGATTACAGGCATGAGCCACTAGGCCTTAAACTTTATTTCTGATCTAGT